ATATTGTGACCTTGCAGACGACGTGATTGAAATGTTCTAGCTGGAGAAAGCCTGGTTGGATAAATACTTGCCAACTCACATCAGACTGATTTCTGTGTTTATCCATTACATAGCAAAGCTTAATTTATGTTGGCAAATATATGGAAAAGCATTCTTTTTCTTTTTTATTACAATCTTAGAAAGATCTCAAAACAATTCTCCGTGTGCCCAAAAGTTTTAAGAAAGGTAGTACCATGCCTTTTTCATCTTTTAATTCCTGTTTCCTGCCTGCCATAGGAACTGAGAGACTAATCCATTGAAGTCTAAGCCAAAAGTTGAATCTGTATGATAGATGTTGTATTGCAAACATTTTTCTTTAAGTCAGAAAAATAAGACTCAATGTTAGATCAAGTTTGTTGACCATACCTCCCACCCAATATCCCTGTATATAGAGATTCGTCCTAGGAGTTATTTAGATGTGCCCAAAATGTCTGTGTCTTAGCAGCAAACAACCTGGGTGTCAATTTTCATTCTAAAATCACAAAGAAAAGCTGATTTATAGTTATGAACCCTGGTAAATGAAATATGGGAATACAGTATAAATTTGATTTTGAAGGTCTTCTTAGTACATGTGACATTAGAAATAAAAGTTAGAGTATACATGCTCTCTCGGCTGGTATACCCTAAAACATTTTTCCATCATTATGTGAATAACACAAGAGCTGGAAAGTACTGCAAATGAAATATTACATGTATGTCTTAGAATTATTTTACTAGTAGTTTTTATAATATGTGTTACCATTTAAGTTTGAGTAAATATTTTATTTATTTTTTTATTGCATTTTAGGTTTTGGGGTACATGTGAAGAACATGCAAGATTGTTGCATAGGTACACACGTGGCAGTGTGATTTGCTGCCTTCCACCCCATCACCTATATCTGGCATTTCTCCCCATGTTAACTCTCCCCAACCCTCAACCCCCCGCTGTCCCTCCCCTATTTCCCCCCAACAGACCCCAGTGTGTGATGCTCCCCTCCCTGTGTCCATGTGTTCTCATTGTTCAACACCTGCCTATGAGTGAGAACATGCGGTCTTTGATTTTCTGCTCTTGTGTCAGTTTGCTGAGAATGATGGTTTCCAGGTTCATCCATGTCCCTAAAAAGGACATGAACTCATCGTTTTTGATGGCTGCATAATATTCTATGGTGTATATGTGCCACATTTTCCCTGTCCAGTCTATCATCGATGGGCATTTGGGTTGGTTCCAGGTCTTTGCTATTGTAAACAGTGCTGCAATGAACATTCGTGTGCATGTGTCCTTATAGTAGAACGATTTATAATCCTTTCGATATATATCCAGTAATGGGATTGCTGGGTCAAATGGAATTTCTATTTCTCGGTCTTTGAGTAATTACCACACTGTCTTCCACAATGGTTGAACTAATTTACACTCCCACCAACTGTGTAAAAGTGTTCCTATTTCTCCACATCCTCTCCAGCATCTGTTGTCTCCAGATTTTTTAATGATCGTCATTCTAACTGGCGTGAGATGGTATTTCAATGTAGTTTTGATTTGCATTTCTCTGATGACCAGTGATGATGAGCATTTTTTTATATGTTTGTTGGCCTCATGTATGTCTTTTTTTGTCAAGTATCTGTTCATATTCTTTGCCCACTTTTGAATGGGCTTGTTTGTTTTTTTCTTATAAATCTGTTTTAGTTCTTTGTAAATTCTGGATACCATCAACCCTTTGTCAGATGGGTAGATTGTAACAATTTTTTCCCATTCTGTTGGTTGCCAATTCAGTCTAATGACTGTTTCTTTTGTCGTGTAGAAGCTATGGAGTTTGATTAGGTCCCATTTGTCTATTTTGGCTTTTGTTGCCAATGCTTTTGGTGTTTTGGTCATGAAGTGGAGTAAATTTTATGTTCTCAGACTTAAGCCTTACAATTTTCCTTATTCATTTGTGAGAATCTGAGAATATGTGAAATTTAATATTTAAAATTTTGTATTAATGCATTACACTGCTTCTTGTTAATAATCATTTGAATATGATATTAATGAGAGAAATTCTAGTAATTTTTCGGATTAGGGTAGTTTTTAGATAATCCAAGCATTCTTTACCTCTTTGATTAAAATGATTATGGGCTTAGTCTTAATTGATAGTTAAAAAAAAAATCTATCCCTAAAATATTTCCCTCACGTAAAACATCTATTTTCCTTCCTCTCCTTTCCTTCAGTTACTTTAGAATAACTCTCCTCCATTATTTCTTTCTTGGCTTCTACTCTTCAATCTTTTCTGCACTATATTCTTTGTCTACTTCCATGTTTGTATCTCTAGTATACATTTTGTTTTTGAAGCAGAGATCTTGCCATATTATTCTTTATATCCCTCATGTATATAGATATGTTTGACAAATTCAGCCCCTTAAAACATTTTTTGAAGAACGAATAGGTGAATTATCACATACATAAGTGAAACTTTAAACTCTATTTAGGGATCTTTGTGTCATCAATGGTAACATCCATATTTCTACATCTATTTTGGAAAACACAGTGTGTAGAATCTAGAACTAGATCAGATTCTTCTGACCACTCACAGAACCATTTTATCACAACATTGTGTTAAACTTGGATTAGTTGAGAAGACACATTAAAACTTGCATGAATTTCAGCTAAATTTGAATAACCTTTATTTGTGGGTCACTTTAGTAACCTCATGCCCAGGACCACAACCCAGTATTCACTTTCTAAAATCTCTTCAGATTTGGAATTAAACTTGCACTCTTTTTAAACAGGCTCTGATTTTTGCTGCTCTATCACTCCCCAATGTCAGTAGCCATCTTTTCAGTTTCATCAAGGGCTCCAATTTCTTTTCTATTTCTTATTACACTGCAGTTTTCTTTTTCTTTTCTATCTAGCCCAGAGCTCATCGTCTATGACATCAGTCAATCTCTTATGGTGACACTGTTTTATTGCTCTTTCTATCCTTTGTGTTTCAGCTGTTCTGTAACCCCCAGTCAAACAAATATGATGCATCTTTTATTCCAAGGTCACTTTCAGAAAAACAAAACAAAACACAACTGTGTGCTTACTTTGATACAAGTAAAATTTTTATTCTCTAATTTTAAGTGGATTATTAAATCCATCTTCTATTACCCTGGTTTCTCAATACATTTTACTTTTTCATTAAGGTTTTTACCTCATAATTTTCTCTTTTTTTTCCCTTATGCAAACTTTCTTGCTGTTTAAGACATTAGGCAATATTCACTTCTGCTACCAACCACCAGCTTTACTGCATATTTACTGATCACTCTATTATCAATAGAAGAAATATTCCTTCCCTTTATTCAAAACAAATATATTCAACTTCATTTTCAATGTCATTTCTTCTTGATTTACATCACATGGTTCTACAACATTCTCTCTTTTATAGATATTTAGACGTTTTAATAGTTACCCTTTAAATAATAATGTAAAACTTGAAAAGTAGTTGAAGGCCAGACATGTGTGATTTGCAGATATAAAAGTTTCTTTAGGCAACAGCCTTATAAGGAATACTTAATATATCTCTATCTCTATCTCTATCTATCTATCTATCTATCTATCTATCTATCTATCTATCTATCTCATGAGTGAAGCTGTGTCTCCAAACTGTATTTACACAGAAAATGACTCAGGCTTCAGTCATTTAGCACATCAGTTAGTTTCAGTATTGCCATTTCAGACACACAAAAGAACTAGGATTATTGAAGTCTTTTTGCGATTTTCCAACAAAATTTACACGAGAGTGGATGTAGATAGGACTTTATGCTATTTATGTCTCTTGAAGGTTTGAGTGGAAATCTGGCTGAAAATGAAAACTCTGAGAAGGAGAAAGGAGATGAGAAAGAGAAAATCAGATGACATAGACATAATTTGAGCACCTTTTAAACTCTGCTAAGTCAGCCAAAATCTTTTGCTTTTTTTTTTTTTTTTTTCTTTTTCAACTTCTATTTTAGACCCAGAGGTTATACGTACAGGTTTGTTACCTGGGTATATTGTGTGATGCTGAGGTTTAAGGTATGAATAATCCCTTCATCCAGGTAGTGAGCATAGTATCTAACAGTTAATTTTTTTAGCCTTTTCCCTCCTCATTTTCTCTTCCACCCAGTAGTCCACAGTGTCTATTATTGTCAACTTTGTGTCCATGGGTACTCAACTTTTAACTCCCACCTATAGGTGAGAATGCACAGCATTTAGTTTTCTGTTCCTGTATTAATTCACTTAGGATAATGGCCTCCAGCTGCATCCATATTGCTGCATATGACATGATTTCATTTTTTATGGCTGCATAGTATTCCACGGCACATAAGTACCACATTTCTTTATTCAATCCACCGTTGATGGCATGACTTTTCTGTTGTGAATAGAGTCATGATGAACATACAAATGCATGTGTCTTTTTGATAGAATGATTTGTTTTCTTTTCAATATGTTTCCAGTAATGGAATTGCTGGGTTGAATGGCAGTTGTGTTTTAAAATCTTTGAGAAATTTCCATACTGCTTTCCACAGTGGATGAACTAATTTACATTCCCACTATCAATGTAGAAGCCTTCCCATTCTTCCACACCCTCACCAACATCTGTTGTGTTTTGAATTTTTAATAATAACCATTCTGACTGGTGTGAGATAGTATCTCATTGCGGTTTTGATTGGCATTTCTCTGATGATTAGTGATGCTGAGCATTTTTTTAAATATGTTTGTTGGTAGCTTATATATCTTCTTCTTAGAAATATCTGTTCATGTATTTTGCTCATTTTTAAAAATGAGGTAATTTGTTTTTTGCTTGTTTAATTGTGTAAGTTTCTTATAGATTCTGGCTACTAGACTTTTGTTGGGTTCCTAGTGTGTGGATATTTTCTCCCATTTTGTAAGTTGTGTGTTTAGTTTGATGATAATTGCCTTTTGTTGTGCAAATGCTTAGTTTAATTAGGTCCTACTTTTTTTTTTTTTTTTTTTTTTTTTTTTTTTTTTTGAGAATCCAGCTTTGACCTTTATTCAAGAGACCAGATGGGGTTGCCCCAGGATCCGGCTGCCAGCCCTGAGGCCAAGCACGGCTGGAGCCCCACGACCTGGCCTGCCGTTGCCCTGAGCTGCAGCCTCAGCCCCAGGATCCTGCTCACAGCCCCACAGGTGCAGGCAGGAAGAAGCCCTAGGGGATTGGACGCTGCTATTAATTCATTAAAAAAAAAAAAAATACACCAAGGCTCCATGTTCCCCGTGACAGGTGGGCCTGAGGGGCTGGTATGACACCCGTGCCCACCCCCCCCCACCAATGGCAGCATGATTTCTGTACAATCAATCCATCATCCGGGGCATGGGGCGGTATGCGGGGGCTATTTCTTGGCTTTGGCGGAATTGCGGGGCGGGGTGATGGGTCGGCCCCCAGGGTTCAGGCCACTGAACTGCCCGTACTTCCCCTTGTTCTTGTCAGCAGGCTTGAGGATCTGGAAAGAGCCCATGAGGGTCTCATCCACTCTCATCATGGCACCAGCGTTGTCAAACTCGCCACAGTAGTTGGGAGCTGAGAAAAGTGTCACCAGCTGCCGCTTGGCAAAGAACTCATAGCCATCTTCTATCACCTGGTGCGCCCGGCAGATGAGGTCCAAGTCGTGCTTGTGCAGGAACTTGGCCACCACCTCGGCTCCAAAAGTGAAAGAGACGCCACGGTCGTTCTCGCCCCAGCCCTGCACGTGCTCGTCAGGGTCAGACCACAGCAGGTCACACCGCAGGCCCTGGTCAGGCACGTCTGTGGGCCGCATGGTACGCCGGATCTGCTCCACGGATTGCAGGTCTGGGGACAAGGCTCCGTGGCAGCAGAAGATCTTTTCATCCACGATGGCTGCGATGGGCAGGCAGTTAAAGCAGTCGGTGAAGGTTTTCCACCGTTTGATGTTGTAGCGTCTCTTGCACTCAGCGTAGAAACCGTCGATGCGGTTGATGCTGGCACACCCGTGGTTCCCACGGAGCAGGAAGAAGTTCTCAGGGTACTTGATCTTGTAGGCCAACAGCAGGCAGATGGTCTCCAAAGACTGCTTGCCCCTGTCCACATAGTCCCCCAGAAAGAGGTAGTTGCTCTCCGGAGGGAAGCCCCCATGCTCAGACAGTCGCAGAAGGTCGTAGTACTGGCCGTGGATGCCACCGCCGATCTTGAGGGGTGCCTGCAGCTCCAGAAGAACAGGCTGGCTCAGGAAAATCTCCCGGGATCTCAGGCACAGACCGCGGATCTCGTTCTCTGTCAGCTGTACATTCTTGCCAGGCCTCGAGCCCTGCACTTCCAGCAGGCGCCCGATGATCGAGTCCAGGTTGAGCTTCCCGCTGTCTGACACGGCGGCGCCGCCGCTCCAGCCCAGCAGCTCCGGGCCCGCTCCCGTCTCCCGCCCTCCGGCCTCAGGTCCTGCTTTTAAATTTTCATTTCTGTTGCAATTGCTTTTGAAGAGTTAGTCAAAAATTCATTCTCAAAGCACATATCCAGAATGATATTTCCTAGGTTTTCTTCTAGCATTCTTCTAGTTTGAATTCTTACATTAAAATCTTTAATCCATCCTGAGTTAATTTTTACATATGGGTAAAGGTCGTGGTTCAGTTTCATTCTTCTGCATAGGGCTAGCCAGCCATCCCAGTACCATTTATTGAATAGTGAGTCCTTTTCCCATTGCGGTTAAGTCATTTTGGTTTCAATCATTTGGAATTATAAAGTAGTTCACTGACATAATATTTAGTATGTAACAAGTGCATATTTATACTTCAGGTTAATTACTGATTGCTAGTTCAGTTGAATCTGCTTAATCATAAACCATTACCATTCAGTTTTAATTACTGTAATTTTATATCACTTTTTAGTATCTACTATAATATGATCACCTTCACAACATTTTATAAAACAATTAGCTAGCTATTTACAAATATTTGCTTTACTAGATCAAACTTATACTCATTTGTGAAGTTTCCAGAATCAACAAAAACAATAAAAGTTAAAGTAAGGAAAACAAAAAAAGGAACAAAGCAATACCTGATAAAAATCACAGTAGATTTCAACATTAATTTACTAAGAATTTATGCATTTCCCCTTTTGAGATAACTTATAAACCTCTTTCAGCCTCAATTATGTATCCCAGTGGATTTTTTTAATCTTCTTCCATGTACATTTCACATTTTTAGTTTATTTCATTCTTACCTCTTTTTGTAGTGGTTTTATTATAAATAAAACACACTATTTATTAAATGGTTAAATTTAGGAAAACTGGAATTTGTTAGAGGATGTATGAAAATGGGTGAAAGTTACCTGGTTGGGAGGCTTCAGTGTTTACATAATTGAGAACTCGTAAGTGATTAAATAAGAATATTGTTATAGTTTACAACGTAGGATGAAAGTTTCAACTAAAATAGACCCATTGTTTTTCTCACAATGATATAATAATATCATATTGAGTAATAATTATACTATTACTCAAAAAAATTAAACAGGAATTGGTGGTGGCTGAGCCTGCATTGGGCTGATGTGGGATGAGTGAGATGTAGCCTTGCTTTTCCATTGAAAGAATGTATGGGATCCAATAGAAACAGATGTGAGTTATAGATAATTAGGATCATACCAACTTTGTGAGTTTGAACGTTTAGGTGTCCAGGAGGACTCTTGTTCCTCTCATTGATGTGTTTTATGCTTCTGCAAATAAATTAGGTTCTCATAATTTTACATTGTGCTCTTTGCCCTCTTTCCCCATCAAATTAAAGGCAGGAAATCTTGGAGGTCATAGAGGTAGTGTGGGAATCAAGAGTACCTTGTAAATTTTGAGTTAATTTTCAAGTATTTAATGTTTAACTAGTCAGTGTTTCCACAGATATATAAGTAGAAATTTTAAAAATTCCTAGAAACATAAATGTAAAATATATGTCTAAATAATATAATCAACATAAATTTTATATGTCAGCCTAATTCTCAAAACTATGTATATAGTTGGCTGCTTTTATACTAAGTTCCTAAATATAAAAATAAATTAAATGAAAAAGAAATTAATGTAAACAGCATTTCCACTTGATATAGACAATTTCTTTTACTTTTATTTCTACTTATTTCATGAAATAGAAACCTTTCAGTAACTACTAATCATTAAACAAAATGATGATTAAATAATTTTTCCAGTAATTTGTAAAAGGAAATATACAGTAATGGTACAAGAGGAACAAGAATGTAATATAATGATTTGAATTACCTCTTGACTGGCAGTGGAAATAACCTTTAGCATATGATATTTAATGTGAGAAGTATTGTAAAGTATTAGTTTTATATGTGAATAGGTTATATTTAAAATAAATTTTTGACTTTATTGTTTTCTAGGCCTTCTGAATTCAGATAATTGTCTTTTCTTGTGTTTGAGTATAAGAAATATCTTGCTGCAAATGGAAAACTTATTTTTTACCTTTTCAAATATAATAACCAATTTTGTTGCAAATGCCCAATATTTCTCTTCTTATTTTCTCTAAATGTGTGAACCTTAGGCATTTTTCTTAGCAAATTTGCAAGCACATAAAAGACAAATACATGGAGAAATGCATATTTCATCATAAAATTTAACCTTTAGAATTTCAACATAATACAGTAACATATTATAGAGATAATTTGTTGATTTCAAGTTAGTATGTATAAAAGGAATCCTAGTGAATAGATATCATGAAACTCAAATGGTAATATTCTTATGTTTTAGGCTTCTTGAGTTTTATTCATAAATATTAACGATTCAAAGAAATTACATCTGACCTTATGTAATATAGTATAGTCACTCTTGCTTTTTAAAAATCATGTTTGCAAGGTATCTTTTCTCATGTTTAAATTTATTTTAAACACATTTTAGAACACTTTTAGATTTACAGAAAAAGTGAGAAGATGGTACAGAGTTCCTATATAAACTGAACCTAGTTTTCCAGATTATTATTTTACATTAATATGGTATTTTTGTTACAATAAATGAACCGTTTTTGATACATTATCATTAAATAAAAATTGATACTTTTTTTCAGATTATCTTGTTTTTTACCTAATGTTTCTTTTTCTGTTCCAGGATCCCATTCAGGATATTACTTTATATGTAGTTATTATGTTTCTTTAGGGTCCTCTGGGCTGTGACAGTTCTTCAGACTGTCTTTTTTTCTATTTTTTTGGAAGGATGGGGGAAGGGAACATCCTTGTTTTATAATGACGTTGACAATTTTGAGGCATACTGGTTGAATACTTCGTAATATGCCCTGCTATTGGAACTTGCTTTGTGCTTTCCTCATGTTTATATTATGATTAGGAGGTTTGGAGAGGAAATGACAGAAGTAGAATTTCGTCACAGAAGCAAGATTTTCATCACACCATATCAAGTGAGCACACTATCAACACGATTTAGGCACATGTTGAGCTTGATTACCTGGTTGAGGTAGTGTTTGCCAGATTTTTCCGCTGTGAACTTACACCCTCCTCCCTGTATAACATTTATTTTGTTGCTCAGATGGTTCTGTTGTGGCGTTTTTGTTCCTGCAGTTTGGTGAGCAGGAGGAAATGGCACCTGAAGGCAGAGGTTTCACTTCGTTACTCCCATAGCTCAGCAAGGAGAGGGAGTGGCACTCAGTGGCTTCTTCTCTCCTGTTGTTCAGCAAGTGGGAGGGAGTTTTACAACTTTTTTACTCCTACCACCCACAGCTCGGTGAGCAGGAGGGAGTGTAACCCAGTGCACTTTTTAATCTCTAGTTTGTGGACTGGGAGACAGTGCTACAGCTGTCTCAGGCCACCGATAGCTCAACAAGCAGAGACATAACAGCTCTTTTTGCTCCTGCAGTTTGGTGAATTCTGGGTTCTTTTTCTGGGACCAGGAGGAATGAGGTACACACACACTCGAGAGAGTGAGTAGGGCAGAAAATAATTGTATTGAGGGAAAGAAAAGCTCTCAACAGTGAGTGGGGACTGAAAGTGGGTAGCCATCTGTGAGACTGAGTCTGGGCGTTTTATGGGCTTAGAATAGGTGAATGTGTGCTGATTGGTCCATGAGTCATCTTGAAAAAAGCATTATTCAATTGGTTAAAAGGCATTATGCAGAAAGGACCAGTCAAGAAGGAGTGGGTAAGATGGGGATGGAAGTTCTCACTCTGGCCATGAACTCTATCCAGAACTGGCAGTTCAGTTTTCAGGCTTTAGAATGTCCTTGGCTTGAAGGTTGGGTTTTACCAGGGACTCATCCCTGTCTGCCTGGGAATTTATCTATCTCCTGTCACTATCAGTGGATAAACTATGACTTATTTATTCATTCACTTACTGAAAGACAACTTGGCTGCTTCCACCTATTGGCAATTATGTCTAGTGTTGCTGTTAACATAAATAGTCACATTCACTTTTGTGTGGATATAAGTTTTCATCTTAGCTGGGTAAATACCTAGGAGGGCTATTGCTGGATCATTTAGTAAGACTAAGTTTAGCTGTAAGAGAAACTGAAACTTTCTTCCAAATTGGCTGTACCGTTTTATGAGCAATGAATAAGAGTTCCTGTCACTCTAAAAAACATTTCTTTTAAAAACTTTCAGGCTTTAAAACATTTATTTTAGTAATTCTAATAGTAGCGTAGTGTTATCACATTGTTTCAGTTTGTAATTACCTTATGATAAATACTGTTGTGTTTTTCCATGTTCTTATTTGCCATAACTTTTTTTTTGCAACTATTAAAATCTTCTGCCTATTTAAAAAATTGGATTCTCTTTCTACTGTTGAGTTTAAATAGTTAATTTTATATTCTGATTACAAGTCCTTAATGGAAAATGTGTTTTGCAAACATTTTCCCCAAGTCATTAGTTTGTCTTTTCATTCTCTTAACCCAAAGTGTTTGGGCCAAGGTTTTCTAAACCTAGGTTTTCAACGTTTTTTTCTACTACAACTTCATTCTTTTATGGTTAGTATTGTTACAAAATTTTTGATAAATGTAATTTACAACTCCAGCATGTTTAAAAGAGCAGATGTTTTACTTTTAATAGAGTCAAACTTTTAAAACTGGCTTGTGTTTTTGATGCTAAATTTAAAAACTCATTGTCAAAACTAAGGCCCTTTACTTTTCTGTTTATTCTAGGAGAATGTATTTTGCATCTTACATTGAGAGCTTTAATTTATTTGAGTAAATTTTATTAAAAGTATAAAGTCTGTGTTTTGATTTTTTTTCTGCATATAGCATGGCTAAGCAATTGTTGAAGGAACTATCTTTTCTTTGTTGAATTGCTTTTGTTCCTTTGTTAAAGATAACTTGACTATACTTATGTGAGTTCATTTCTGGGATCTCTATTCTTATCAAGTGAGCTCTGTATTCATCCTTCACCAGTGCCATCTGTATTGATTTGGCTTATAACAGGTCTTGAGGTCAAATAGTGTGAGACCTA